TTTTACCCTGCACCTCTGAAACTGCTGTTGGTGCTTGTGCTTCATACTTTTAACAAAGGGTAGCACTAAACGTCCCTGCTTCTGTGGAGTTATATCAGAAGGGACTGGAGAGTGAGGAATGCTCAGCACTGGCAGGTAACTTGTACAGACTGTACGTGGTAGTGTTTACCCAGTGTTTACCCAAATTTGGCATATATATTTGCCCTATAGCTTTTTATAAAGATACAGTGTGTTCTCTGGCATAACAATTAAAATTAGATGTGTTGGTTCTGCCCTTGCTTGGCTACAGGAGCCTTTTTTTTTTTTGATGATCCATTTTCAGGTCTTTAATGTTTTATGCAACATCAGAAAAGTAAAATGAAACAAATTTGAAATTTCTCACCTCTCAAGCACCTTAGAAACCCCAGGAAGACTTGCAATACGCTGTACTGCAGGAAATAATTGTTTCACTGGAAGTGTTAGAGATGAAACGTTAAGAATTGGAGTTTGAGCAACAGAGACCTAACTTAAAAGTTAGAAAAAAATGGAGGAGTCAGCTGAAGGAGTTTAAATACTACTTTATAGTATTTAAAGCCTATTTCTAACTATTATGATGTTTTAAGACAATTGCAATGTCTCAAACATTGTAATAAAGAGTAAAATGCTTTGAGAGAAATGCACGTCTCTTGAACACTAAACTGGTCTTAAACCATGAAACTTTTATAAAAGAGTTAAAAAGGTATTGTTGACCCTTCATTGAAGTAATATAGTTGACAATCCTGATAATGGTGTCAGAACTGCTTGCTTTTCAAGATTTTTAATATGGCATTTTGAGCAAATATTTCAATTGGTGGAGTTTTCTGATTGTGTGACAAGTATTCATTGCTGTCACTGCACCTGACAGCTTTATTTATCATATATATCATTAGATGCATATTGAGCAGCCACTCCTACTTTTGCCTTCATATTTTCTTCTTAAATTAATGTCTGTTAACTAGTGAAAAGAAATTTACTGTGCAGACTGTAGTGAAAGGTAAATTGACATAAGAAATGCAGATTCAGGACGTTGTAAGGAACCTAAATGAAAATGTTGCTTTTGAAGTTGTCATGTAAGCTTTGCTTTTCAAACTTGTGAGAAATAGTAGAGTAGCAGGAAGAAAGGGATTATTTTCTTTTTTGGATTAAAAGAAGGTGGGGGAGAAGAAGTAACTTGGTCAGCCTGGTAAGTAGGAAAAGAGTACTTTGTTCTTTCAATAGAAACAATGCTGGTCTTGTAGTAACACCATATGAAGAGCATTGTATTTATCCTTTTTTTTTTTTTCTTTTTTTACTTTATTAAGAGAAAACATGCCTGGCTACTTATTCAGATTAATGAAGAAAGGGAGGATATCTCTACAACAGATTTGGATTCTCTGTATCTAGTCTGTATCAGTTTGCTGGCTTTTTTTTTTTTTCTTTTGCACCAGTGCAGATAATAAAAACATGTAAAGAAAATAATTTTTGTACTGTGAGAATGTACTGTGTCACCAGGAAAGCAGTAGAAAACCTAGGTAAACCAAAAGAAAGTGCTAGAAATATTTCTGACTTAGTCATTACTTTTAATACACATATGTTCCTGGTCTTCTGTGTACAGAGATGTTTTTATTGTGATAAGAGTATTTAAAAGATTTTATCAAACTAAAGAAATCATGATTGTTTCCTAGGACATGTTTTTATGGAACAGATCTTTTTCTGTGAATCTCCTTCTTTTTGTGGTGCCTCAAAGTGCAGTCCTGGCAGAGAAAATAGTACTATTGTGTTCTATATCACCTCTTTTTTTTTTTTCTGTTTTGGTTTATATGTGGGGAGCTGTGTTGTACTGAACAGTTTTAGACAGTTTGGAATCAGATTAATTTCTGCACCTTACTGTCACCATATATTTTTTGGGGAGGTTAACTCTAAAGAAGAGGTTTCCTTAAAGCTTTTGGTACTTTTACAAATGTCTGAGCTCTTGGCTCAATGTTAATATTGGCAAGTAGTTGTGCAAAGCTATTAAGTATTTGGCTGATACCCAAACTTCCTGCTGACTAGGTGTTTCAGGCCACAGGAGGGGACACTAAAAGCCTAAATCATCCCTCAGCATGTAAGAGTGTGTAACCAGTGAAAATCAGAACTTACTGGGTACTGTGTATAGTATTTCAAGGAAACTCTGTAATTATGTTAAATGTAGAAGTAAGGATTTGGAAACTAAACTGAGTGAGATCTTCTAGTAGCATCACATTAGAACTCTATGCTCCAGGTTTCTATAAAAATAGAATGCTAAAAGACAAATGTGGTGAGTTGTCAGACTTTAGCCACATGGGTAATGTGAACCCATGATGTTGCTGTCTGCAGGTGATCAGGTGGGGAAGGAATGTGGAAAATAAGGCAAGCTGAAGTTGGAATGGGCATCAAGAGGGACTTCGGCATGAATAGTATTACATTTGCTTGGTTTTCAAGGCTGATGAGAGCATGGGGCAAAGTGTCTGGTGCCTGCTCTCCTTTCCCCAGCTGAGAAATGCATGCTTAATTTTATGGATCTAAAAGGATCCATGTAAAACAGAGCTTTGTTCGCAAAGCAGAATAATAGACTCGTGATTATAACGGTATATTTTACATCATGTACATTAAAGGCATTTCTATAAAATAAGAAAGTATTGAGCCAAGCAGGTGGGCATCTAAGTGGGTCTGCAGACTGTCCCTACCAGACTGAACAAAGCTGGGTGACTTTTTTTTCCTCAGAGAAGCTTTTAGGGGGATATGACTTTTGTGACTCCTTTGTCCTGGTTACTACAACAGCTTGGGTAAAAATTATTACTTGAGACTATTAGTATTCCTTCCTCCCTGTCCAATTAAAATAGCAATATAAAATAAATTTATCTTTCAAAATAAAATTGTTTATATCTCACCTGTCCACTCGAACTTCAACTAGAATGGTTCTGTCAGCTGGTTCTGTGGGAAGATGGGATCTCTCCTCTCTCTTTTTCTTCAGGCAGTAGATGATGATCTGTGTGGCAATTGTTTAGGTCCTGAGGCTGATATTGCTTCTTCATATCCCCAATTCCTGATGTGTTGAGACACACAGTAAATCTTCCTGAAGCTAGGAAGGCTCCATGTATAAGCAGTAAAGAGCAGAAAATGATGTAGGTGCTTTTCTCCCCTCTTTCATAAGGCAATGGTGTATGGCTGCTACTGTCTCACAGCCTTAAAGGAAAGCTCCAGTTTTATCCTTAAGAAGTACACATGTTGAAAAAGCATATTTTCATGTGCTTGCCTTTTTCTGAGGTGTTTGCAGGAAAGCCAGTCTGTATAATTCAGGTTGCAGAAAGTAACAAATTGCAAATGAAAATGGAGAAACTCTTAAGAATTTCTTTAAGTCAGGGTTTTCATATTTTGGTCTGTGAGCTGTCCTTAGTAGCCCATTAAAATAATAAAATCAAGCATATCATCAAAGTGTTTGTGTATACAACACAGAGGTCTCTCTTTTGATTAGAATACTTCTGGGGGGAAATAAATTGAAAATGCTGTGGCAGTAATACCACTTTGGTTGGTAGTGTTTTGCTTCTCTTTTTCTGTTGCTTTCAGAATTTTCACAAGCTTTTGGAAGTTACAATGTTCAGTCAGCATTTGAACATTATTAATGAAGTTTAGTGAGAAGTTAGCCTCCATTTGGATAAGGAATGAGGATCCTTTTTTCAGTAGAGCTCCATGGTAGGCACTGGAGTGCCAAGCAAGATAAGTGCTCTCTGATATGAGATAAGGACTTCTAAAACCTCACACAAGTTGAGAAAAGAAAGACCACAACTAATAAGCTCTAAAAGGCAAAACAAGTATGTAAAAATGCATATCGGAGACATAAACAGAGGGCTAAGTAAGTTATTAACTAACTCTAAGCAAGAAACAGAAATTAGTGATTTATCAGACTGTACAATGAAAAGGAAAAACAGTGTGGATATGACATAAGATATAATATTCTGTACCTCTCCTTCTGAGGATCAACAAATTTATACCAAACCCCACTGCCTGGCCATGTGTCATATCTACTGTATCTAAAAATATTGTGTGCAGTTTAAATTGACACTGGCAGTTCCTGCTAGCAGTATTTCAGCAGACCAGAGTGTAGTGTTGTTTTGGGGGTGTTTTGTTTGTGCTTTTTCTTTAATTGAGTGAGCAAGAAGGTGGGGTGACTTCTATCAGTTTAGAGGATTTGTTGTTGCTTTTGCTCAGGCTCCGCCTGGAGCCAGTGGAAGGAAAATGATCTTCAGCTCTGGTCTTGTGTCTTTGAAGGAGCTATGGAATTATTTCAGGCAACTAAGAAGGATACAAGGATGGATTATTCCGAGGGCTTGATGAGTTATTTGGCCAGAGGATGGCTGGCACTTCAGAATTAGGATAAGCAGTTGCATTGCCCCAGTCACCATGATGAGAATTTTTTTTATTGGTCAATGTGTTGAAGCTGAGACTGCAGAAAAGCTGCACAAGTTCTTGTGGTGGATCAAGCTGTGGGTCATCTCTTGAATGCTGCATGACAGCTGAAAAGAGAGACAGATTTGGACAGTGATGTTAAAATGCCAGAACTTGAAAAAGTAAATCAACAAATTCCTTTATACAGGTGTGCCTTGGGAATGAATTCTGGAGGCTTTAAGAGGGTACTTATTAATATCAACAATAAATAATTTTCTTTATAAAAATTTATTTTTGTCAGTCATTTAAGTCCATTAACATACCAGCTAAGATCTTTTATTGGGCCCATGTTGTTCATTCCAACTTAGTTTAACAAGCTTTAGCTCAAAGTTTTCTAGCAAGAAAGAAATTGGGAGTTTTGTTTTGATTGAAATTAGTTAAAAATGCATTTTCAAATTAATCATACTAAATATAAGATATGTAATAGATTTTATTTTTAAAGTTACTACTCTGGGAAGTTATTTTTTCTGATATATGGTGATTACTTGTAAGTTTATTTCCTGAAATGAAAATATAATTTTATAATATTTTTTTTTCAGGTCTGTCTTTGGAGGAAAACCGGATTTTGCCTACTGGAAGAATGCAGTGAAACTGCCAGTATTTCTAGCTGGAATTATAAATTTAATATTCAACTTTAGCGTTACTAGTTTCTTACTAAATAGTACCTCAAAGTAGAAGAAAAATGTATGGAAGTGCAAGAACAATCGGCAACTTGGAAGGAAGTCCCGCCAGGTCTCCCCGCTTGCCAAGGTCCCCTCGCCTGGGTCACAGGCGAACCAGCAGCGGGGGAGGAGGGGGGACAGGGAAGACTTTATCCATGGAGAACATCCAGTCCCTTAATGCAGCCTATGCAACATCTGGACCAATGTACCTGAGTGACCACGAGGGTGTAGCTTCTACTACTTTCCCAAAGGGCACAATGACTCTTGGAAGGGCTACAAATCGAGCTGTGTATGGTGGCCGAGTCACAGCCATGGGGAGCAGCCCCAATATTGCTTCTGCTGGACTGTCACATACAGATGTCCTTTCTTACGCTGACCAGCACGGAGGGCTGACCACATCCTCACACCACCACCACCACCAGGTTCCTTCCATGCTGAGACAGGTTAGAGATAGCACCATGTCAGATCTGCAGGCTCAGCTTAAGGATCTACAGAGGGAGAATGATCTTCTCAGAAAAGAACTAGACATTAAGGACAGCAAGCTGGGATCCTCTATGAACAGCATCAAAACTTTCTGGAGTCCTGAGCTAAAGAAAGAGAGAGTATTGAGGAAAGAAGAAGCAGCTAGAATGTCAGTTCTTAAAGAACAGATGAGAGTTTCTCATGAAGAAAATCAGGTAATTAATTATGAAAGTTTGTGTTGAATTACAGCCAAGCACTTGATGTTTTGCTTTTGGTACTGTATCCAAATTTGATATTTGCCACAAGAACTGTATGTCTTGGTGTGTCTGCTTCTGACTGCTAAACTTTAGGAAAGCGCACTGAGAATCCACATGCAGATTATAATTTCCTTCATGCAGCATCCCTTCACATTTTTTGATGGAGAAAATGATTGTTGTTACCCTTTCTCTTACTTTTGAAGCTCTCGCTAGGGTTTTTTTTTTTTGCAACAACTATCTGAATGTTGTCTAGGCAACATTTTCTGAAGAGGTAAATGAGCCACTTTTGAAAAAGTATAAATAAACACCCAGAGGCATATTTTGTTTAAGCTGTACAGGGGCTTAACCATTTTTAAGTTAAAAGGAGATAAATCCTCATATTCAACTCTCTGTACTTCTGCATTACAGAATGAGGTGAAGGTTTTCAGTAACATTTCAGAAACCTGCATTGTAGAAAAGGAGTATCCTGTAAATATATATTGTGTTTCAAGTACTTCTATTCATGATGTAACATTATTTTCCTGAAGTTATAAAAAGATTTAAATATTTTAATCTGGATGGATAAATCCGTAAAGTCAGACTTGGAGACTTTGCTGTATCAAATATACAGCTATATATACAAAGCTATACAAAACAGCAGCACAGAATAAATAAAAAAAAATGATCCTTTTTCCACACACTTTTTGGCTTCTGATCTTATTTTAAAGCTGCTCCTTTTTAGACCATCTGTTAACTTTCCACAGACAAAAACACAGTCCTGTGTTTCTCTCACTTCCAGATTCAAATCTAAACTTCTTAACTGGCAGGCAGCAACAACTGAGATTTTTAGTTTACTACTAAGTTTGGGATCAATTAGAGCTTCTCAGCAAACTTTCCACCTTTTAGGCATGTCATGAACTTAAATATCTACAGAGATGACAAGTCTGTTACCACTCACTTCAGTGGGAAACAGACTGGGTTGTCATCAGGAATTCAGTCCCATGAATTATTAGTTTGTTACTTTCTTGTATAACTTTTGTATCCAGACTGAGGGTAGTAGTTGCTGATTATTTATTTTTAGCACTTGTGCTAGGATGCTGCTTGAACCAGTATTACCAAAAAGATGCATGGTGAAGGTTCTGTTTTTCACAAACTTTGTTGGTTAGATATTTTAATGGTGGTAGTTGGTGTCACTTTAGGAGCAGAAATATTCTAATACACTGTCGTGTGTTTCTTTTGGAAATGTCACATTAATATCTTATACAGACATTTGCAATTTGAATCTGCTGTTTAGAGACTTCATCACACAGCAATGAGGTTATGTTTTGATTTGTTTTCCCCTAAAAGCCAGTTTTTCTTATCTTGAGGGGAAAGTAGTAACTCAGTTATGAGTTCATTCATGTTGTATCTTTTTGACAAATACTCTTATCTTCTAAAAGCAAACCTGGCAAAAACAATGTATTTTGCCCAATGTGTGTATTTAACATGAATCCTTACTCTATAACACAATGACATGAAGTTTGGGTAGCTCAGTATTCCATTGCTAACAGTGTCCAAACATTCACAAAAGAAGCCAAGTGTATAGTGGTGTCCCCCAGAGAGTATTCCTTGTGATCCAGCTGCTGGTTTTTTGTGCTTAATAACTCAGTGGACTTTAAATTCAGCTAGTTCTTTTTGGACCTGTTTAAAATACTGGTGCCTGCAGGCTCTTACAGCCCAACATACCTGTGGAGAACCACTGCTTTTTATTTGGTTTTGCACTAGACTTTGGCTGCTTTTGTTAGGATTTCCCGCTCCTCGAAAGAAGTAATAAATAGTTGATGTCTGGTGCCAGTCTCAGTGCTTCTTAGGACTTGACAGTGCCATCATCACATCCCTCCCTCAGCTCTTTCCCAGACAGGAGAATCTTACCATGTGTTATAATTCCTTGTGAAACAATAACATGTTTTTCAGGCCTATTACATGTTGGGGATATTTTTTTTTTTTGAGGTGAGGAGACCAGAAGATCTTAGGTTTTTTGATAAGGTGTAAAATCAGTTGTGTTGATGTTGTAGTGTTTGCCCTTTTATTCTTTGTCTCTCACAGGAATTCACAACAATTTGTTTGTTCTTTCCAGTTTTGGATGCATTTATTTTTGCTGCTGCTGAGTACTAAGCTAGTATCTTAATGGAAACATTTATTATAGCTGAAAAAAACCTCTACATTAATTCTAACTAGTTTAGATCCCAGCTTGTTATGCTTAAAGGCAGGATTATTTTCACTCATGTGCCACTCTTATCTCCCTGAATTTCATCTGCCAGCCTCTATTTGCTTAATCTTACAAAATTCTTCTTTGCATTTGGTTTTTTTCTTTACTGCTCTGAATAACCAAACTCCATGAGGAAAATTAGTCATCTTACTGATTGCTGTTCTCTGGGTTACTCAGGAAGTGTCAGTCAGCACAAAGCCCAGCCACAGGTTGCAGCAAAACTCCATGGGGACCTTCTGTCGGTTTTAGGAGTCAACCATGTGTTTCTGCTATTTCCTCTCTTGTAATCAAGTATTTGTATATAAAAGCACCCATCCTCTTATGCAATTGCTGCTTTCTTTCCTTGTAAGCATTTGGAGAGGAGCCTTTCTGAGGGAATGGCATTGGAAGTCCAAGCTGGCTGTCAGCTTGTTTGTCACTCTTTTTCCAGGGGGTTATTGATTATTTCAAACAACTAATTTAAATTAGAATCATCAAAAAGCTGTAATTTTAAAGTACTGAAAAAAGTGATGTGCTCTATCTCATCTATCCTAAAAGAGGTTGGTCTGCCCTTGTGTGTCTGGGGTTTGCTGGCTTATAAAACTTTCCTAAAAACTGAGTTGTTTCGTACTGATACACTAAAAAGTGTTTTCACACTGGCTGTCCATGATGAAAGTGGCCCTGCCTGGATTCCTGGGTCTCCTAGCAAAGCTTGGGAATTCCCAGGAGACTGGAGAAGGGCAAATCTATCCTCCTGACAAAAGAGAAGTGAAAAGAGAGAATGAGTGAAATATACTTCATATGTTTATAGTGGTTTCTAAAGAAATCTTGCAGAACCCAAAAAATTGTTTGGAAGCTGTATTTTTAAAAATTGCTGGCTATCTCTAAATATGGGGGTGGAATAAAAAATACACTAACAGCCAATATGGATTTGTCAAAAATAATGTCAAAGGAGTCTTAATTTTTTTGGATGACAGGAAAACACACCTTATACATGATGGAAAAAAAGTAGCAACATATTGATGTTAACAAAACTTTGTCTCAAAAGATTTCCCTTTAGTGAGTTGGTGGGAAGCATGACAGGAAATTGCTGCTGTGTGGAGGACTATTTGATTGGAAGCCTATGTCAAAGTGTAATCATCAGTGAGTCACGGTAAAATTGGAAGGATTTCTAGTAGGTAGGGATCTGTCATGTGCTTGAGGCTTTCATCAGTGTCCTAAAGGATGAATATGTGTTATCCATCCAGATAATGTCACAATTGGAAAGGCTTAAAAACATCCTGGAAAGTAGGATTATAAATGAAAATAATTTTCCAAATAAATGAATTAGGTTCAAATAGTAGGATCTGTTCAAATCGGAAAATTGATAAAATTACACCTTTTGGAAGCAGAAAGAGATCCATGAGGAAGTTATGGACAGTAGCTTGGACATTCCTTTTTTCTTTTGAAAGTTATTATATTTTTGAAAGTGTATGCTTTCAGCACCTGTACTTTGATATCACAGCCCACATTTAGTTGTATTTTGTTCTTCATATTCTTTGTGAAGAGTATGAGTGGAATACTGACTGGAATTATGTATGTGTGGATATACATAGTGACAGGACATACTCTAAATGTTTTTAACTATTTAAAGTGGTTCTTCATCTTGGAATCATCCATTTGCAATGTCTCAAACAGATTTTGTTGGTTTTTTTTGCTAGGTAGCTAGTTATTCCCTCTGTTCTGACTTGTATAGAAAATTCTAATCATGTGTAATGTATAGAAAAGTTAGTGTAGAAGGTTTCAGTGGAGAGCAGAAGGCCAGGAGGTGGGAAGTGCTGGGAAGACATTATTCGGCAATATTCATTTCCAAGGTTGTTGCCTGTCTGTCAAGAGGGAAAACTAATTTATTGATTTGGATTAGCTGCTTCTAATACAATACATTAATGTTGATATGCTGCTTTTATGGCATTGCAAAAACTGAATCACCGTGACATTTTTTTAAAGTTCATATTAAGCCCATTTGCACAAAATAAACTCATTTTACCTACTTAAAAATGTCATCATTTACTACTACATAATTAATAAAAAATGGGCACTGGGTGCAATGAACAGTGGCTCTTTTTCAGTCATGGCATGGTTTTATGTTCTTGGAAATAAATGGGTGAGCGTGATCCTTTTTTCCCCTACAGAAAACCAGGTAATTTTAATTGACTTAATGTGTTCTTTGAAAACATATTATGAGTTTCGAGCTTTTGAAGTTTAGTTCCTATCCTGATACTGCAGGAATTTATTAATGAGATGATGAAAGGATAAAAAGGATAGTAAGCAGTAAGTTCCTCTGAGGCTTATAATTTTGAATATAAAATTTTCTTGAAGCAGTTTCTTAGAATAACTTTTGTCCATCTGTAACAATATGAATAACTGAGATGCTGCAATTAGCAGAATGGAGCTGATAAAATAATCAGCAGAGAAGGGAATGTGTATTCATGATTAGAACTTCGAGTAGCTCCTCAATGTTACTTCATGTGCTCTTCATTTTCACTTTGACTCATGACAAATATCTAAATAGAAAAATAAAAGGAAATATATGAAAAAGTATTCTGACATGGCGTTTCCCTTCTCTGTACTAATTGAACTATGTTCCTCGTAAAACACTGATTAGGCTAAGGTATACATTATTAAAAAAAATAAATCTTTTTTAGGTATTTTATGCCCTTTGAATTTTTTGTGGCTTCATTTTACTGGAATACGCAGGGAGTTATCAACACTT